ACCATTTGACCCCTGCTGTCATGAAGTGCCCTCTGGCCAAGTAACCTACACTATACTTACCTGGAGCAGATGCTGTGAGGTTTACTGGCACTAGTCCAGTTCTTTACCAGGCTGTCTCGTCCCTGCCAGAAAACTGGATGGCCTGCAAGCTTGAGTTTGTGCCCATCCTGCTGCTTGTTCCTACCAAAGTGGATTCATATAGCATCTGTCCTTTCGTGCTTGACTAACTTCACTCAGCATGATTTCTCCCAGATTCCTCCACAAGTTGAGGTCTTCAATTGTTTCATCGGTGTTTTTTAGGGTTTGTAGTCATCCATTATGTGTGTATACCAGAGTTTTTTACTCCACTCTTCTATTGATGAGAATTTAGGCTGTTTCCAGTTTCTTGCTATTGTGAACTGTGCTGTGAGGAACATGGGGGAGCAAATGTCTGTTCATGATCTATTTATTTCTTTTGGGTAGATGCCCAGGAATGGTATTGCTGGGTCATATGGTAGTTCACTTTCCATCTGTTTTAGGTACTGCCATATCGCCTTGCATAGTGTCTATAAGTAGGTGTTAGTCTGGGTACTTTAGAGAAACAAATCCACAGAAACTCATGTATAAGAGAGAGTTTTATATAAAAGATAAGTGCACATCAAGAAAACATCCCAACCTAGTGTTGCCCAAGCCCACAAGTCCAACATTAACCCATTAACCCATATGTCCAACACCAATTCACAAAGTCCTCCTCCATCTCACAAAATAGACACTATGATGCCTTCTGCAGGAGGAAAGCCGAGTCAGTGAATGTGTAAGCATCCCAACACTGGCAGGGGTCTCCACACGGGTGCTCTAGCACCCAGGGCTACATCGGAATAGGTCCATGTGGCTTCTCCTTGGGGACGTCTTGCCAGCTAAAGCAGGGAACTGGCTAAGGCAGCTGCACCCTGGTCTGACCATCAGAAAGCAAGAGACCCGAGAACTAGAAAGGCGAGGCTCACCGAGCCATTTATTCCTCTGTCCTTCAATTAACCCCACTTGTGTTTATAGGCCAGGTTGGCACAATAAACTATCTCAACGTATTTACAAGTCCACCATCAGTGGATAAGTGTTCCTTTCTCACCACACCCTCTCCAATATTTGTTGTTTTCAGTTTTTTTTTAATTGAGTTACAATAATGGGTGGTGTCTTGCTGTTTTGACTTGCATTTCCCACATGGCTAGTCACCTGGAATATTTCCTCATGTGATTATTAGCAATTGGAATGTCATCCTTTGTGAATAATCTGTTTGGGTCTTTTGCCCACCTTCTCAGAGGGCTATTAGTTTTTTTCTTGTTGTAAGCTTGTAAAATTCTGTATATCTTAGTAATTAGTCCTTTGTCGTTACTAAATATCTTTTCCCTGTCTGGGGGCTGTCTTATTACTCTTTTAATGAAGTCTTTTGATGTACACAAGTGTTTTATTTTGAATAGGTCCCATTCATCTATTTTATGGATGAATGGGAAACACTATTCTGCAGTGTGCTTCCTGTGTTATTTCTGATAGGCCATGTATTTCCTGCACTAAGGCCCCTAGCTTTGTCTCAATTATCTCATTGATGAACCTGATAGCTTTGGGTTTTACATCCAGGTCGTTAAACCACCCTGGGTTTGTTTTTGAGCAAGGAGTGAGATATGGGTCTTGTTTCATTCTGTACCTGGATTTCCAGCTTGTCCAACATCATTTATTGAAGAGGCCATCTGCTTCCCATTTAATGTTTGGGGGCCTTTGATAAAATAGGTTGTCAATTTTTTTTTTAATCTGGTGTTTTTATATCTGGGTTTTCTGTCCTGATCCATTGTTCTGAATATCTATCATTGTACCATTACCAGGCTGTTTTAACAACTGTGGCTGTATCACAGGTTTTGATGTCAGGTAGAGCAAGACCACCTACTTTGTTCTTCTTTTTGAGGAGTTCTTTGCCTATCCTGTGTTTCTTCCCTTTCCATATGAAGTTGGTAGTTAGTTTTCCATTTCTTTGAAGAATGATGCTGAAAGTTGGATCAGGATTACATTGTATTAGTAAATTGTGTTTGGTGCTATTAATATTTTCACAAAATTGAGTCTTCCAATCCATGAACACAGAATGTTGTTCCATTTGTGTAGATCCCTTTTGGTCCCTTTTGGTTCTGCAGTTTTCCTCAGAAGGGTCGTTGTTCTTTTGGTTACGTTTATTCCTAGGTACTTCAGCTTTTGGGTGACTATTGTGAATGGTGCTGATTCCTTGATACCGTTTTATGGATTTCCCATCACTGGAATATAAATCCATATTATTTCATAGTTCAATCATGTCAAACCCAATTTTACAATTTATTGCATAATAATAGCTTTCCAAAACATACTTTTCCTTCCTAGACATCTTGGCATCATTTTCCTCTTGTCTCCCCCACCCCTCTATATCCCCCTTCCCTAGAATCCTTGTCACATTTTCTTTCCCTGTAGGCTCCACACCCCTGGGCTTCATTTACCAAAAAGTAATGAAACCAATAATAAAGTGTCAAGAGGGTGAGTCCCACTGGGGATAAACCTCTGAGAGACACTGTCATAGAAATGAACATAAACAGAATATAACAGACTGACTGTCTCCAGGTTGCTGGGATAATATGTGTCTCAATACAGCATAGAGGGCATTGAAGTACCAAGACTGATTGTCTCATCTGCTGAATTCTCCCTGGTTTTCTTCAAAATCATTGATTCTGTTTCTGTCATTCTATTATCAATACCATTCACCTTTGTACCTATTTCTGCTATGTTGTTCCT